CAGTTATGCTGCCATCTCATATTAAATTAATGACCAATTCCAAATTAAGTTTTAGAAATGTCTGAATTAAAAAATTAACTATTTATAATTATTAAATTTAATACAAGATGGCAGCATAACTGCCTACCTCTAGTAAAATTAATTAATTTCTAATATTTAATTATAGCCTTTACATAGCCCAAGAATTTGGCATATCGTTTGGCATCTTCATCAGACATATCTGTGTTTTTTTTTTTTTTTTTTTTTCTGCAAATTGAATTTGCATTTCAGTTGGTTTATTCTGTGCTAGAAGAAAAGATGAAGATGATTCATGTTTCTTAACAATGTATATTGTATAATTTTCTTTAAATAAACATACATAAAATATTTGAGTATTTTTTTTCAGCATGGAACGCATTATCGAATCTTACATTAATTTCTATGGGAAAAACTGTTTCTCTTAACGAGTGAAACACTCGTTAAGAGAAATTTATCGCATTATGAGTAAGATTCTGGAATGAATTATGCTCATTAAGCGAGGTTCCACTGTACCAACATTTAAATTTCAAAAATTTAACAAACCAAGAAAAAAGTAAGTAATAATCATAAAATAAAAATTCCTAAGTAGTATAAATGGTAAATTTCATGTTTCAAAAATATATTTCCATGCTATCGCTAGACTGTCCACATTCCTAAAATTAATGCATGTTTGTTTTCTGAGTTTTATATATTTCTATCATTTCCAAGTGATGGAGGTTGTTAGGATTTTTAGTAGGTCAGATTATTATTGCATCTTCCCATGCAATCTGTATGACCTGCTGCCTGGTGTAGTTTGCTAAGACTTCTATTCATATTCTTGCTAATCATACATCGATGCTCCTTGAGTCTCGCTTTTAGGTTCTATGCAGTGGCTCCCATGTAATTAAGCTTTTGTTATAAACACTGGTCTTCCTAATGGGATATGTACCATTCTTGCTGCTCCCAGATTCTTCCTTATTGCAGAACCAGTTTCTTCAAAGTTCTTAATCCATTTCATAACACCATGTCTGCTATATTCTTGACACAGCACTGGTGAGCAAGCTAGCACCACCCCACAAGTACACAGGAAAATTGACTTCAATAATTCCATGTTCTCTGCCCAACCTTGTATAATAGATTTCTAAAAGGAATATTAGTTTTTAATGTTAATATTTTGAATCCCCAAATTTTTGAATTTTTTTTTTGGTCATATTTTTGAATATCACAGTTTTCACCAAAGAAATGATTACTAAATTTACCCTCATTCCAGTTCCTTGGCTTATCTGTTTCTCTGTGATGTTCTCTAGCAAGTTTTCTCCAGCTACCCTTACTTCTCTCATTATTCCTATCCTACCTTCCTCTCCTTGGATTTGCTTTGATGTATAAATCAACTTCCTTGGCCATTTCTACAGGTTTCAGTCACTTTGATCCTTTTCATCAGTATGTGAGATCTTATACATTCGGGTAATCTCTCTTTTACTTGATCTGCCACAACCAGATCCTTCAAGTTCTGCAAGGTTTCAACTTCCCTACTTTTGAGATAATAATTGAAGCAAGTTTTAATTTTTGCTATCCACTGATCATAATTTTCTTCCCAGTGCTTTGAACAACTTTCAAAGTTTTTGTGCTGAAACAGGGTTAATTAGTTCTCTGCCAGAATACACTCCTTAATGGCCTTATAATTGGTTAACTTCTCGATTCCCAGATTATTTGTCAACTCAGTAATGAAATTTGATAATCTATGCAAAATGACTTACCATTGTATACATAGGGCACACTATAAATTTTGAAAATAGTCTCAGCTTGATAATAGAAAAATACCCAATTTTCTGGTTTTCTAGGGCTATGGTTCTCAATACGTGGTCAGCACAACATGGGTGTTCCTTGTAGCTGCTTCATGTGTTCCACAAAAAAATCAAATATACAGTTAAAAATTGTTGCAAAAGCAAAATTGATACAATGTAAAATAATTTTTGTATGGGAATGTAATCAGCAAATGCCAATGAAATCATATACTACACCAAGTTTGCTCTTTATTTCAAAAAGGTTTGCCAGCCCTGTTTTAAAGCTGATATATTGTAAGTGTTCTGTGGAAATAAATGTCAAAGTTTAGTGTTCTCCAACTTCAAAAAGATTGAGAATCATGGTTCTAGGGAGTTGTTTCTTGACCAAATTTAAATATTTTATAACATCATTGTCTACCATTTTTTGACTTGTGGTTGACTGAAGTCCACCTTCATAGCTATGATTGGCCCAGAGTTCCTTAAGCCTAATTTTATGTTTTCACTCTCTTTGCCTTTCCTATTGTTTGAGCACAAGCTTCTCCCTTTCCAACATAAACTTTTTCCTTTCCCATTCTATTTCTAATCTCTTCAGTTTGCATAGTATTAATTTGTTTGTCTTCTCTGAGGCTGTTTCTACAGAGACCTCTTTAATCTCTGTTTCATTCCCTTTGCTCATTTCACCGACCTCCATAACCAACTCTTTCGAGTTCAACTTATTTCTCTTTGCCATTCTGAACCTTATATTTATCAATCCACTTTCGAACATGTTTCTAAGCCTACCAGACAATGACAGCAATCTCAAAACTCTAAATTACTGAATGTATTATTGTGCATACCCTATTACTTGATATTGTACCAACATATATACATCAAATGAAATACTTTATACATATAAATGCCCTGGGATAAAAAGGAAACATTCCTGTTGGACTTACTCTTCTATGCACGGAAAGCTAGAACTTCTGTAAATAAGTAATATAAAATGTTAGTTCGATTAAAGAAAATTGCTAGAAAAAGTGTCAAAGGTTTTATATTACGGACTTACTCTTACTGCTGTAATATTCAGTGCCTTCTGAAAAAAGACATTTCAATGCTACATTGCTTTTGACTTAATCCTTTCGACTGCACCATTGCAAAGAATCGTAATTCTGACTTATTAATCAGGTCAGATGATGCACTAGAACCTTGTAAACACATTTATTTCTTCACACACACACACACATTTTAACATACATGAACAACATTGACTCAACAATCCACCACACAGTCTGATACACACCATCAGTCCATGGGATAGCTTCTCTTCTCGCCCAAAATTCCTCTATCTCCCATAAAACATTGCCTTTCAGCACTTCCTGTGTCAACCTGCTTCCTCCAGTTTCAGATGTTGTTATTGTTTTTATAATTGGTAAAAGTGTTAGAACTTGACAGATATTTCTTAAATATTTTGATTATATAAATATATAATTGTTATATGATGATTACTTTATAATGAAATTAATATTAAATAAAAAATATTGATTTAATGTTTAAGTTACAATTTTTTTAAAAAAATCTGTTTTAATTATTTCAGGACTTATATTTAACATTTTAATTTGTAATGAATATATTAAAAATACAATAAATTTTTAAATAAAAGTAATATTCTTTAAGTATAACTTAACTTAATAAAAAAAATATGCAGAAAGAAAAACAGAAGGAAGTTGAAGATGCAATTCTTTCAGGAAAAGAAGATGGATTTGAGGTATTTTCGTTATAACTAATAAATTACTGCTGTCTAATTCCAAATAATTTATTTATTTTTTATTCACAAATTTATTTATAATATAATCATATTAGGCCATTTGACCAATTGATACAAAACTTTGCAGTTACGTTTAAATCTTCTTAGATCATGTTGTACATCTAACCCCAAATTATAGATTCAATTTCAATATATTGATTATTGAGAGGAGAGATATATCTTGCTTCTAAAGGAATTTCACTTTGAGAGGAAAATGAGTACAGGTATACCTCGCCTTACGTCGGTAATTGGTTCCAGGAAAACGACTTAAGTCGAAAAACGACGTAAGTCGAATTTACTTGTCTCCGAATCAAATTTTTGAATTTTTTTTTGGTCATATTTTTGAATATCACAGTTTTCACCAAAGAAATGATTACTAAATTTACCCTCATTCCAGTTCCTTGGCTTATCTGTTTCTCTGTGATGTTCTCTAGCAAGTTTTCTCCAGCTACCCTTACTTCTCTCATTATTCCTATCCTACCTTCCTCTCCTTGGATTTGCTTTGATGTATAAATCAACTTCCTTGGCCATTTCTACAGGTTTCAGTCACTTTGATCCTTTTCATCAGTATGTGAGATCTTATACATTCGGGTAATCTCTCTTTTACTTGATCTGCCACAACCAGATCCTTCAAGTTCTGCAAGGTTTCAACTTCCCTACTTTTGAGATAATAATTGAAGCAAGTTTTAATTTTTGCTATCAACTGATCATAATTTTCTTCCCAGTGCTTTGAACAACTTTCAAAGTTTTTGTGCTGAAACAGGGTTAATTAGTTCTCTGCCAGAATACACTCCTTAATGGCCTTATAATTGGTTAACTTCTCGATTCCCAGATTATTTGTCAACTCAGTAATGAAATTTGATAATCTATGCAAAATGACTTACCATTGTATACATAGGGCACACTATAAGTTTTGAAAATAGTCTCAGCTTGATAATAGAAAAATACCCAATTTTCTGGTTTTCTAGGGCTATGGTTCTCAATACGTGGTCAGCACAACATGGGTGTTCCTTGTAGCTGCTTCATGTGTTCCACAAAAAAATCAAATATACAGTTAAAAATTGTTGCAAAAGCAAAATTGATACAATGTAAAATAATTTTTGTATGGGAATGTAATCAGCAAATGCCAATGAAATCATATACTACACCAAGTTTGCTCTTTATTTCAAAAAGGTTTGCCAGCCCTGTTTTAAAGCTGATATATTGTAAGTGTTCTGTGGAAATAAATGTCAAAGTTTAGTGTTCTCCAACTTCAAAAAGATTGAGAATCACGGTTCTAGGGAGTTGTTTATTGACCAAATTTAAATATTTTATAACATCATTGTCTACCATTTTTTGACTTGTGGTTGACTGAAGTCCACCTTCATAGCTATGATTGGCCCAGAGTTCCTTAAGCCTAATTTTATGTTTCCACTCTCTTTGCCTTTCCTATTGTTTGAGCACAAGCTTCTCCCTTTCCAACATAAACTTTTTCCTTTCCCATTCTATTTCTAATCTCTTCAGTTTGCATAGTATTAATTTGTTTGTCTTCTCTGAGGCTGTTTCTACAGAGACCTCTTCAATCTCTGTTTCATTCCCTTTGCTCATTTCACCGACTCCATAACCAACTCTTTCGAGTTCAACTTATTTCTCTTTGCCATTCTGAACCTTATATTTATCAATCCACTTTCGAACATGTTTCTAAGCCTACCAGACAATGACAGCAATCTCAAAACTCTAAATTACTGAATGTATTATTGTGCATACCCTATTACTTGATATTGTACCAACATATATACATCAAATGAAATACTTTATACATATAAATGCCCTGGGATAAAAAGGAAACATTCCTGTTGGATTTACTCTTCTATGCACGGAAAGCTAGAACTTCTGTAAATAAGTAATATAAAATGTTAGTTCGATTAAAGAAAATTGCTAGAAAAAGTGTCAAAGGTTTTATATTACGGACTTACTCTTACTGCTGTAATATTCAGTGCCTTCTGAAAAAAGACATTTCAATGCTACATTGCTTTTGACTTAATCCTTTCGACTGCACCATTGCAAAGAATCGTAATTCTGACTTATTAATCAGGTCAGATGATGCACTAGAACCTTGTAAACACATTTATTTCTTCACACACACACACACATTTTAACATACATGAACAACATTGACTCAACAATCCACCACACAGTCTGATACACACCATCAGTCCATGGGATAGCTTCTCTTCTCGCCCAAAATTCCTCTATCTCCCATAAAACATTGCCTTTCAGCACTTCCTGTGTCAACCTGCTTCCTCCAGTTTCAGATGTTGTTATTGTTTTTATAATTGGTAAAAGTGTTAGAACTTGACAGATATTTCTTAAATATTTTGATTATATAAATATATAATTGTTATATGATGATTACTTTATAATGAAATTAATATTAAATAAAAAATATTGATTTAATGTTTAAGTTACAATTTTTTTAAAAAAATCTGTTTTAATTATTTCAGGACTTAATATTTAACATTTTAATTTGTAATGAATATATTAAAAATACAATAAATTTTTAAATAAAAGTAATATTCTTTAAGTATAACTTAACTTAATAAAAAAAATATGCAGAAAGAAAAACAGAAGGAAGTTGAAGATGCAATTCTTTCAGGAAAAGAAGATGGATTTGAGGTATTTTCGTTATAACTAATAAATTACTGCTGTCTAATTCCAAATAATTTATTTATTTTTTATTCACAAATTTATTTATAATATAATCATATTAGGCCATTTGACCAATTGATACAAAACTTTGCAGTTACGTTTAAATCTTCTTAGATCATGTTGTACATCTAACCCCAAATTATAGATTCAATTTCAATATATTGATTATTGAGAGGAGAGATATATCTTGCTTCTAAAGGAATTTCACTTTGAGAGGAAAATGAGTACAGGTATACCTCGCCTTACGTCGGTAATTGGTTCCAGGAAAACGACTTAAGTCGAAAAACGACGTAAGTCGAATTTACTTGTCTCCGAATCTACTTATCACTAGGCTAAACTATAAATTACTATTCCCAGTTCTGTATTTTATTTATTAATGCATTTTTAATAATATATGGTTAATAAGAATCTATTTTAAGCTTACAAACAAATAAATTTTAGTTTTTAATAGAGTACAGAAAAAAGTAATCTAAATTTACGAATGGATGTACTGTACTGTAAATACAGTACATACTTGTAAATGTGTATATTTTAATATGATTTTATGTGCTTTAAACGCTTTTCTAGTGATATTACGACTTCAATATTTGTGGCGGACGGACGTAAAGTCGAATAAAATGACTTAAACTTGATTTTTATTATTTTGTATACTTTTTTGACAAACGACGTATAATCGGGAACGACGTAACTCGAAACGACGTAAGTCGAGGTATACCTGTATTGTAAAATTTTATACAAAAATTTATGTAAAAATAGTTGTAAAAACTTTTTTAAAATCCATTTTCTAAAGTTATAAAAATCATAAAATTAATATTTTATTATTTATTTTTAAAATTATTGAAAAAAATTTTGAGATGAAAATGATTAGTAAGAACAAAGTAAGTTTTTATATATATTTTTGAAGAATTGGATATTTTCTGCATTTTGTAGTAGTCCAAGAATATCACTGATTATAAGATTAGATATAAATATAGAAAAACAAGCAGTAAATGAAAGTTTGAAAGATTACATCTCCTTCACTTTATAAAAATCAATATGATATTTAAAATTAATTCCCTGACAGTTCAAAACAAACTTTTATCCATATTTATTCACATTGTTATTTTTGTTGTATATCTCCTTCACTTTATAAAAGTATACTGACAGTTTTTATAAAATTCATTATGGAGCAAATGTAATAGTATAAAATTTAAACATTAGCAATTTTCTACAATGTAATAAAAAAATTTATCAAGGTGAAATAAAAATAGATTTTAATGCAGACACAAAGAAAACAGATAAAGTTGTGTGCACACAGGATGTGAATTGTGTAAAACTGAAATTAAAATTTTTGACACTAATAAAATTTAAACCACAATGGGAAGATGTTATCAAACACATTCTAATGTCTTTCTGTTAATTGTAAATGCTTATATGAAATTTAGACAGTCATCTGGGACTTGAAGTGGAGCACAAATTTACATGGAATTTCATTTTACACAGTAGTTAGATACACAATTCTGTTGTAAAAGAAGACTACATATTATATATGTGTTTTGTAATCTGACTGATCTTTGTTATAGGATATTAAATTATTTTTTTAAATGCATTAATGTAAAATATTTTGATGTATAAGGGATGTTCAATAAATAACCAGCCAATAATAAAATATAATCAGTTCATTTTATTTTACATTTACCTCACCCTTTTTATATACCTCAACAACCAAAATCACCCTGGTTGTTTAGGTATTTATCTCACTGTTCCACAAGTGTCATGATTTTGCATTTAAAAAATATTGCAAGATAAGAGTAGAGCAAAATGTAGACAGCACCCTGTACCTCTTGATTGGATTAAAATCGTCTGCCTTTCAGTTCTTTCATTAGCTTACTAAAGACATGATAGACCATGTAAAGTTATATCCAAATTTAAAAATCTCTGGAAGCAAATTTAAATATCTCTAAGAAACTTTTATTAGGTTCTGGTGGTGCAACTGGCAAGCACACTGCACGGCAAGCAGAGGCTGCGGGTCCAAGCCCTGCCCCGGGTCAGTTCTTTTCTTCCAGAAGGTTCTAAATTATTTAATAAATTATTAAAATTATAATTATTAATTTAGTTAAGACATGATAGACCATGTAAAGTTATATCCAAATTTAAAAATCTCTGGAAGCAAATTTAAATATCTCTAAGAAACTTTTATTAGGGTCTGGTGGCGCAACTGGCAAGCACACTGCACGGCAAGCAGAGGCTGCGGGTCCAAGCCCTGCCCCTGGTCAGTTCTTTTCTTCCAGAAG